GCCTGTTGCCTCCCTGGAGGAGAGGCAGTGTTATATGGAACACCACAGGGTGAATAAGGCATTTGGGAGGTTTACAGACAATAATGATGATGATCATGATAATAATAAAGGAAAATGATACTAGCTAATACATACAGCACTTACTAAAAGCAAGGCACTATTATATGCGTTTATTTAATCCTTACAGTCCCAAATGAAGAAACTGAAATAGAGAGGTTAAATAATTTGCCCAAGGTCATAAGATACTTAAATGGTGGAGTTAGAATTCCTACTCAGGCATTCTGGCTCTGGAGTCTATCCCCTTAGCCACTATGCCTCTCAATGTGAACATATAACCAAATTTAGAATAACAGGGGATGGGGGAAATGTCTGGTTTTATAATAATTGGGATTTTTCTCAGTTTAAAATGTCTTTGTGAATATTTTAGGCTTGGCATGCATGGAAACAATCCACATATTGGATGAATGTCTTTCCCAGTGAGGACAAATTGCTGCTTTCTTTATGATGGAAGGGATCTGATATAATCTAACTGCTATTAAGTGCCCAGCTGGTCCCCCTCGAGCATGGAGCAAGGGCTCAGTGGTAAGAAAATAGCTATTGCCAAAAATAGCATGGCTTCACTCCAAAATCATAAGGCCCTATGCTGTGATTCTCTTATGGAAGTTTGCCACGGTGTGTATTCTGTATCCTCATTTGCCAAGGGACTTTGCACACCACTGGATCTGCTAGGTCATAAAACCAAACTGCTGACATTGCAGTCTGTACCTACTGCTGACCATTTTCTTTTCTGGGGCCCATCAAAGCTGGTAGGTAGCCTTATGGGTTACTCGGTGAACAGGTCAGTGCAGCATAACCAAATGTGGTACATTACCTCTAAAATCAAAAGCAATTCATCAGCTCGGCTGGTGTAGCTTAGTGGTTGAGCATCGACCCATGAACCAAGAGGTCACTGGTTTGATTCTTGGTCAGGGCACATGCCCGGGTTTTGGGCTCAATCCCCAGTGGAGGGCGTGCAGGAGGCAGCCGATTGCTACTTCTATATCTCTATCCCTCTCCCTTCCTCTCTCTCTCTAAAATAAACAAAAACATATTAAAAAATATTAACAAAAAAAAGCTATCAATCAAATGCTCAGATTTTTTCTTAGTGGTGGGGGGTGTACAGTGCAACAGCTCATTTTTCATTTTCGATTACCTGCTATACTTCAGACTACTCTGGATCCCCAAAAACTTCATGGAGGTGAAAGTGCCCTTAATTTCTATAGGACTGTGGCCTATCCTCTAAAAAAGCACACTTTTTTTACCAAGGGATTTTACATACCTGCTTATTAGGTCCAAAAACATGATGTCCACATGTTGAGTGATGTTCTGCTGGGAAATGTGAGATGATTAAAGTACTTGCAGATGAGATTTCAACAGAGCTGGAGAGCTGATATAACCCAGGTGTACGACAGCAAGATGTACTGTTGACCCTGACAGGTGAAAGTAATCTGCTTTTCATATTTTCTGCTCTTTGGGCTAGAGTGGGGGAAAAGCATATCCCAGGTCAATAGTTGCATGGCTGCAGGTGCCAGGGGCAGGTATTGATTTGCTTTATAAAGTGATATCTGAAATAATAGCTACAAGCCAAGTCCTGTACAGGGCAAATGATTTAAATGTGAACAGATAGGGGTCACCACTCCTGAATTTGTCTTTGATGATGGTGGTAATATCTACCATTCCCTCAGGGATGCGCTGTTGCTTTTGGCTTATGTTTCTGCGGGGGGGAAGAACAGTTCTGGGGACTTTCCTTTGTTCTTCTTACATAGTTTTCATGCTATGTGTCAATGTGAAGGTTCTGCCAGTTGCCAAGTATGTCTGTTACAACTGTTAGCTACAGAAACAGGGAAATAATCACAGGTTGGATACGTGGGATAGACCCAGGCCAAAATTCCTTTTAAATTACTTGACCCTATGTTTTAGTTTGCTAGGTATGCCATAACAAAGCACCACAAATTGGGTGGCTTAAACACTACTTTATTGTCTCACAGTCCTGGAGGTTAGAAGTCCGAGATCAAGGTGTCTGCAGGGTTGGTTCCTTCTGAGAGCTATACAGGAGAATCTGTTCCATGCCTGTCTCCTAGCTTCTGGATGTTTCACTGGCAATCTTTGGCATGCCTTGGCTTCTGCTATATCATCCCAATCTCTGCCTTCATCTTTATGTTGTGTTCTTCCTGTGAGTGTTTCTGTGTCCAAATTTCCCCTTTTTATATGGCACCAATTATATTGATTAGGGGCCCATCCTACTCCAGTATGACCTCATCTTAACATCTGCAACAGCTGTTTCCAAGTAAGGTGACATTCTGAGGTACTGGGGGTTAGGATTCCAACATATGAATTTTGGGGGACACAATTCACCCCATAACACCAAGTAAGCCTCTATTCTAACTAGTAGACCACAGAGACATTTTAGGTCCCAGAAAGTACATTAGAAAAATAGGCTGGAATAATAAGTACCTATTTACCATTAGTTTCTTTCCATTGGCCCAAGTAGGACTTGTGACCAGAGATGCCCTTCCTGTTTTAGCCCCTTTGAAAGTTGACTACAATCACCCATCTATCTGGCTTGGAAGATTCTCTCTTCCTGGCCTGAGAGGAACCTTGTCTTCAGAGCTGTTTTGCTAATCTACACAATCTCGTTTCCAGCCACCTCTTCAGCCTAATCTACTACTCTCCTCCTCGGTCTACTTTGTTCCAGCCACACAGGCCTCTATGCTGTGTGTGTGTGTACATGTTTAAATAGACTAAGGATGCTCTACCAAAGGGCCTTTGTACTTTATTCCCCATGCCTGGTATCCCATGGTTCTCACTCCACTCAGACTCGAATAAAATGTTACTTGTTGAAGAGGCCTATACTATCCATCTGCAACTCTCTTCACTTCCCTTTTCCTTTAGCACATTTACCCTCATCCAGGTTATGTACCTGATCATCTTTCCCCACAATGATGTTAGTTCCACAGGGACAGACTTTTGTTTTCCTTATTAACGCATCCTATACCTGAAACATAGTAGGTATTTCAGAATGAATGAAAGCTCTGCCAAGAGGAACTTAAATGTTCCCCATATTCTAAACTGACCAATTTTTAGGCCCTGGATGGATAGCTCAATTGGTTAGAGCATCATCCCGATATGCCAAGGTTGCGGATTCAATCCCTGGTCAGGGCAACAACAAACCAATGTTTGTCTCTCCCTAAAATCCATAAAAATAAACAAACAAACAAATAAAATAATAAATAAATAAATAAATAAATAAATAAACTGACCAACTTTTTGATGCGTTACTCATGATCTCCAGGTGGTGATGAAGGGCATCTGTTAATGTCTAGGAGATACAAGGGTAGTGTTGCAAAGGATTAGAATAAGTTTAGTTTTTCATTGAGTTCTGGGCTTTTCTTAGATGACACTCTTTCCTTATGTCTTATTCATGCAGGATAAAACATGGGCTTTTACCAAAAGCATATTCAGTATATCATTTCAATCTTTACAACCCCACAATTAGAATAGAATTATTATCCTCATTTCGGCTAAGTGAAAACAGACTCAGGGTAAATTGCACAAGTCTCACAGCAGTAAGAAGTAGAACCTAGGTTTAGCTGCAAACTCCTGCCCCTCCAACAGACTTCCTTGATTTTATCCAAGTTAACCGCTTTCTTGAGACTTCGAGAGAGTTGATAATTTGCATTTCAGAGATTTCCAGATTGACGGCTTCTTTTCCACATGTGGACACCCTCTAGGGTGCCTTTTCCCAAAGACCCAAAGTCCACTAACAGCATTTCCTGTCCCAGGTGCAGGGAAGTGTGCTAAGTATGGCTGCAGTGCTCAAGAGATAAGAATCTTCCAGGTTGGCTGTTGTCCAGACTCATCATCCTCATTGTAGAAAACCACAGGCCAGGAAGACAAAGAGCAGCTGCATCTGTGAAAGGAAACAGAAAGCTATCTGGTCCTCAGGGAACGGATGTTTTCAATTCTTCCTCTGGGCCCAGGGCTAAGGTGATAGAGAAGTTTGGCATTGGAAACTTCTTAAATACTGTCTGAGTTGGAGAACTTAAGGGCAGGAGAGTTAACTAACTCACACAATCACAAAATAAGTTAATGGCAGGTTTGGAATCTTACATCATGTCTTATGAATCTTTTACTTTTTCTGCTATACTGCGTATGAGCATTCATTTCTTAGACCATTATTCAAGACAGAGCCAAAATCCCAAGTAGTACTCATTTAGCTCAATTCTGACAAATTTATAAGATCAGATAAAATTAAGTATGTTGAGAATTTTAGTCAGATTCCTTAGTCCCCTTAAACTAAATTGGCAAAACTGAGANGTATGTTGAGATTTTGGCATTTCTTCTCTCTCATGTCACTAAACATTTTAGTCAGATTCCTTAGTCCCCTTAAACTAAATTGGCAAAACTGAGAAAGCGTTTTGGAACAGGGAATGTGTACCTGACAGCATAACGAACACCCAGGTTATTGCTTGGCGATTAGATTATGCAGAATCAGTACGTTGCTTCCTCCGGTAAGATTATTATTCCCCAATTTTGTAATCCTGCAACATTCACTGGGATCACTCTAAAGAGCCACTGAATTGCCACCCCTTCTCTCCCTCCTCTGGAAACACATTTCTAGTAGTGAATACAATACAGAAAAGGGTAAATAAAGCTTTAACAGGAAAACTACACAGCTGCCTCTAGAGGGCAAGCGAGGTTCATTTTAATCTACAGTTTCTCTATTTGGCTGACTCAGCTAATTCTTCAGTCTGACTACACAGTCTAAAACAAGCGTGGCTTTGCTTCCTGTTATGCTAGGAATCCTTGGTTTATAGGCGACTCCACTACAGCCTGATTAGAATACAATCCTTCATCCCTGAGATTAGGAACACTCAGATCTAGAGACTGTTAAAGACGTAGTAGTCTGTTTCAAACCCTTGGCTCTGTATGACTACCCAAGCCAAGGAAAATGAGATGAATTGAATTACAACAGAAATCTTTATTAAAATGTGTCCTTCAGTAATGTTAGCATACATACAATATACACACATACATCTGTACACTCTTTGACACACCTCATGGATTGCCACCATTAGTTTAACCAATAAATTAAAACTTAAAAAAAGGGGGATAGTAGGATGTGGGACTAAGGGCAAAATTTCCCATGTTTTATCTGTAAGAAACTGTAAATTTCTCAGAATTTCCCTGGGGAAAACCTGTGACCAGAGAATCTTTGAAATAAAATACATAAATCTCCACCCCCACCCCCCAAAAGAAAGATTCCAAAAGATGCAGTTACAACAAGTGTGCTTCTCAGAACAGGAGCATTCATTCCACTTCATACTCTGGCTTCTGCACCTTCTGGCTTCAAGACAGTCTTCCCCTCAGCTGGGGCAGAGAGGTTCATATGGGCACTTGGGCTCGGCGCACCTTGGGCTCTGGGAGTTGAGGGGCAGGCTGCAGTATGGGAGCGAGGGGAGCCACACTCATCTGAAGTGATATCTGGCACATCATCTGACTGCGTATCGGAGCTCTCCAGGTCACTGCGGATGCTCTCGGGCTGGGCCAGGCTAATGTCCCAAGGTTTGCTGGCCAGACAGTCTTTCTGTTCACAGCTTTGGTGTTTGCAGGGGAGATCCTCTTCGTTACTGCCACTGCCACTGCCACCACCACCACCTTCTTCTTCATTCTCTGCCATCTGAGCATGAACATGGAGCGAGTCCTCTGTGCTGCTTCCACTCACCAGCTGGTAGTGGCTTGGTTTGGCTTCAATGTCCACTTGGATTTCCATATTGTTGCATTCTCTGTGGAGACAAAACCCACTATGCTGAATCATGCATGGGTCATGCTATACCTGTTGGTAAAAGCAGTTTGTGGGTTCAGGATTAGGACGTCCAAAAACATAGGTAAATAGACTAGAGCTCACTTTTAGTGAAACTGAAAATTTAACTTAACACTCAAATGAGATGGACAAGAACAATTAGATACTTTTTGTTGATTTAACACACACACACACCCCTCTACCAATTGCATTAAAAAACATTTTTTTTGGTCATCATCTAGTTTTCTTTTTTTATTGATTTCAGAGAGGGAGAAAGGGAGAGAGACTGAGAGAGAGGAACATTGATGTGAGAGAGATACATCGATTGGTTGCCTCCTGCACATGCCCCGACCGGGGATTGGACCCACTACCTAGGTATGTGTCCTGACCGGAAATCAAACCCGTGACCTTCCAGTGCATGAGACAATGCTCCAACCACTGAACCACACCAGCCAGGGCTCTCCCAATTTCTTTAAACTAAAAAAGAGCTTCCAAAATTCAACTAAGTATCAGAGCCTCACACTATCTTACCCAAATATGAAAGAAGATTCATAGCTTTTTACTACCGTGCCACAATTAGAAGAACCCAGACACTCTCCAGAAGGGGGTGCTGCAATCACACCATACTAGCTACACTAGCTTCTCAAAAATAAAGAGAAATAGGCTACAGGAGCCACATCAAGCAAAGGGCAACATGAGGGCAGAAACCCATAGACCCACAGACATCAATGAACACCAATCTAGCTCTTAAAGCTCCACGTGAATAATTACACTGTCGCAAAAGCCAAGAGAAGGAGGAAAAGGAAAAAAGAAAAGGAAACAACCCTCTAAAACTCAAGTGCTAACACACAGGATCAATCAAGAGCTGCCAAGAACTTGTTCAGTGAAGTCACCGGGTACACACACTATATATCCCACTAGACGGTACACAGAGCTCTAACATAAGGCATTGGGCTTCTGAAGGCTAGTACCTGACCCAAAAATGCAACCTCTCCTAGTCATCTGACTGGTCACATACCTGTCCTGTGGGTTGTAGGAACTGATTATGGAACCGGCCATAGCACGAGTACTTGCGTTGTCACTAATTGCACCAAGACTGGCTGTGTCTTTGGGGAAAATTTCCTTTTGGACATCGGCTTGGACTTCTAACCTGTGTAAAGAGGGGACGTTCAAGTTAATATGAGACCTGGGTATTCTGAGGCAGTCTGCTTCCTGGCACACATCTCTTCCATTATTCTCTTGTAAACTGAGTTGCTAGGATCTTCCCCAATTGTCAAACAGCTCAAGGTGGATGCCCACACATTTTCTCTCTTAAATATCTATTGATATCGTCCCCTCCTTTCTATCCCCATTGCTACTGCTTAACTTCAGGCCCTCAATATCTCCTGCCTGGATAATGCAATTGGGCTCCCTCTGCAGTAGCCCTAAGTCCAAGTTAAAGTACTTCCAGATCAGTGCCAATGGGGACAAAAGTCTGATCACTCGAACAATCCTCTCTTGGCTCCCTATTGACAATAGGCATTTAAGGTCTTCCTGATCTGCCTCCAAGCTCTCTCTCTAGTTCCTCTCTCATCACAGACCCTAAATCATAATCACTCTGATTTTTTTTCTTTCCTTACACACCTATACACATTTTATACCTCCATGACTTTGCACATGCTATTCCCACTCTCTGGAAGTTTCATTTCTCTAGATGACAAACTCGTATCAGTCCTTAACAAAGAAAGTACTTCTCCTCACTCCCCCAGCAAACCTGTCACTTCCTGCTAGGAGTGCTCCTACAGCACCTACCTATTTATTAACCAATTTACACATCTCTTTCCCAGTCATCTGAGAGCTCCAAAAAACGAAAGGCCACATCTCATTCACTTTACCCTCCTCGTTTTACACATACAAGGAACTCAAACATTTAGCAATCAAATACCCTCCCCAAGCTATGAGATTGAAGGACATACAGGAGCCAACCTCCTACAAGAGCAGCAGACTTTTCCAGTGGTGTCTCAGAGCTAAGAACCCATAACTATTTCCTTTCTTGGTTCCAACACCATTTTTTTGTACACTTAAGTATTTCCTCATAATAGGTTTCACAGTCAAACTCATCTGATTCACTCACTTCCTATAGAAAGCTTTCACAGAACTGGAACAGCTGGACTGGCTAAACTGCAGTTTCAGCAAGTCAGTCTACAATTATCTCTGCTTATTTATAGGGGTGTTGGTTTTAAGATAGCAACAGTGAATTCTCCAGAATGTGGGGGCAGGATCCCCTAACAAAGAACCACCACAGTCATGAGATGCGGACGGGTCAGCAACAGCCTGCAGCTGCACATTCAAACAACCTCCAGCCTGCTGCCTGTGCCTTTGCTGTGCTCCTCCAGCCTCAGATGCCCTTCACAATGCACCACAGCCCAGGAAAAGGAGGCGGTACAATGGAAAAGCTTCCGCTCTGCCTCAGGCTCACTCTCAATTGCCTCAGGCTCACTCTAAATTGGAAGAGGCCTTTCACAAAGACCATCTACTTAAGTGGTTCCCAGGTGCTATTCCGTGCAATGACTATGATAGAATCACTTGGGGAGCCTTTTCAAAATACAGATCCCTAAATCCCACTCCAGGAGATTCTAATTTACTAATACTGGGGCAGGGCCTTGAAATCTATTTTTAAGAGGCTCCCAGGTGACTGACAAGCACTCAGGTATGGCTATCCAGTCCATCTGCCATCTGTTGCTTGACTCCTAATGGCTAAACGGCTATCTGGACTCACTTTAAACACTTTCAAGGATAGGTAGCTGAGTATTTACTAAGGTAATCCATTCTTTCTTTGGACTTTTACATAGGTTTTCCCTATATTCTCCGTACTGAAATGAAATTGGTTTCCCTCTAGCCAAGTCATCTTAATCTACCTCTTGACATGAGTGAGAAGTTTAATTCTTTTTTCCAGTTCAAGACCCTTCAGATACCTGAAGGCAACCATCTCCCCTACCTCCCTAACTTGTTTTGCCCCACCCCCACCCCTCCCAGGTCTCTGTTTCCAGTGCATTCAACTAATTGCTTCTCATGTAACAGCTGTTAAGTTTCTCTAAATATGTTCTCATTTGTCTAACTGGTGAAATAACCAAGCAACTCACAACCTTTTTAGTTATAAAGCTTTACAAATTCTCAACACAAGTTCACAGAAGTGATTTTATCTACCAAACGGGAATAGTAAGATAATGAAGATGACAGCCAATAAGCCAACAAGATACAGCATAAATGCTCTTCAGCTGAAGGCCACTGACAAGCCTAATGGAGAGCATGACCTTGGAAATTCTGTAAAAATGTATGCTTTCCCTTTTTGAAGCAAGTGGCCTAATATAGTAGAGAGAGGATCTAAATATTATTCTTCATATGGAATAGCAGAAAGAACACTGAACTTTGTGTAAGTCACCTAACCTTTCTGAGCCTGTTTTCTAATTGTAAAAGTAAAAAACAAAACAAACCCCCACTGATGATTAAATCAAAATAAGATGATACATGGGACATGCCTGGTACAGAGAAACGGCTCATACAGGTATGCTGTGTGCTATAATTCCAACTGATTCTGTCAGAAATGATCTATTTGCTTACCTGCTGTATTTTCCCTTGCCAGTGGAAAGAATGCCACCACTAAGTGTGCCCCCTGAGAGGGCTGCAAAGCTGGCTGTTTCGCTGTATGGGCCCTGCATTACACTGAGTCCATCTGTAGGGCTTCCACTGGTGCTCAAGACACTGGTCAGACCTTCAATGCTACTTTCTCCAATGCTGGGATTCTTAAGGGCTCGCCAGGCATCTGCCACTGGAAATGGAAACCAACATCTCAATTCAAGACAGCACAGCATCAAAACAGTCTGGCACTTTCCTGCGGTGACTCTTCAGAGAGGAAAATATTCATGTAGAAAAATACTCATTTATTCAGTTAATGAACTGCTACTATATGCAGTCACCACACATCAAGAGTTTTACCATATATTCGTATATAATCTCTCCAATAACTAGGCACAGATAGCTCTAATTTTCAATGAGGAAACAAAAGCTTAGAACTAAATGACTTGTCCAAGTCATGGCTAGTCACACAAAACAAAAATTCTGATTCCAAGTCCACTGTTCTTTCCAATATATCATAGATGCCATCTAATCAAACATGAATATTTCAAAATACAATTTAGGTCATGTGGCTGATTCTAGTAGGAAGCTTGAAAAACCTTTGGAGAGCTCTGTGCCGCCAATGAGTTAATATGATAAAGTGGAAACAACATTAAAGTAGAAGTCAGAAGGCTTGCTCTGATCCCAGCTCTGCAGAAGCTCTTAAACCCATTTAACAGATGTTGAGACAAAAGCTTAAAGAAGTTCCCATTAAATGGGGCATAATAAGAGCCCCCACCCTTTCTCTTTAGAGAGCTGTTGTAAAAAAAACACCAAGTAAGATAATAACTGTGTAAAGTCCTCTGAAAATTATAAAGTACTGTGCAGATTTAAGACTTTATTATAATCACTACTATTACCAGCATACTTGGAATCCTACAAGTTTGTACCTGCCACACAGAAGCAAGTACCAGAGGAATTAACCTAATAACTCTGGAACAAAGAAATGAAAAGCTAAAAATACTTTACCCCCACGAAGCTCATTATCTGAAGCAATCCAATGGCAATCTCTCTGTAAAATGTGCTAAATTTTACTGACTTTTATCTGATGTTCCATAAATTACAAAGGAAATGAAAATCCTCCTTCACCTGTGATTGGGCCATCTTCTTCATCAAACTCAATTTTCACTCCCTTTCCATTGGCTGTGCTAACTCCACAGCCGCCTCCACGACAGAGAGAAATGGGCACAACCCCATAGACATAAGCCAGCATAATGGGGACACCAATACCTGGAGGAAGAGAAGGAAACATGTCAGCAGGCCATCAGGTTGCAACTGTCCTGAATTCTCCTTCCCAGCCTGAGCATAGACAAACTACTTTAGAAAGGGCCAAGGAAAGGCAAAAGATGGCTATTCCAAAGATGAAGATTGGTCCAAAGAGGTAGAATGACAACTGGCTTTACAATCAGGCTTGGATTAAAATTTTGGCTCCAACTTACTAATCATATGACCTTGGAAATAGCTTCCCAGGACTGTCAATGATCAAAAGGGAATGTATATACAGTGCCAAGCACAGTAAGTGTATGTTGCTTTAATTTTCCCCCTGCTGAAGTGCTAATCCAAAATCAAATCAATAACCAAACATTAAATAAGTGACTCTTGGGGTTAGGATCCCCAGAGTGTTAATTCCAAAATCTGACTGGCTCAGTTGTTAGAAGCATAGGCTCTGAAGTCAGAGTGCCTTGATTCATGTCCCAGCTAAGTGCCTTGGGCAAATTACTGGATCTTTCTGTTACAATTATTCTGCTGTGGGAATTAAATGAATTAATACATAAGAAACACTCAGAACTGCTTCTGGCACATGGAGAACCTCAATAAATGTTAGTTATATTACTATTATTCTGAAATAAACCTTCATGCTTCCCCCGAATAATGTGAGGCGCTAAGCAAATCAAAATAAAAGTAACTTTGTTTTGTGGGTTCCATTGCAAGTAGAGAAAAAAAGAAGATAAAAGGTAAAAAACTAGGCCTTAAAGTAATACTTTAATTCAACTTTCTTTGAAAGATTCCCTAACTCTGATAATTTAGTGTGGTTGATAATCATAATAATAGTACCTAATAAAATTAACTCCTAAGGTGAATTTGGTAAAAAATATAGGGGCTTCCAGGATGAAACATCTGGCCAGCTGGCTAAACTGTGATAGTCAGAAAGCTGATGGGGGTGTGGAGAGGAAAGAGTGGAGTCGTGGTCGTGGCCAGCTTCTTACCAACACTAACTGCAGCAATAACTGGGGATGCAATGACCGACAAAGTCACTCCTCCTGTGATAGCCAAATTCCTCTTATGTTTGGAGGTTTTCCTTCCCTCATACCTGCTATGAATCTAAGAATAAGAAAAAAAAATCCAGGTAAACAGGTTAGGACATCAACCTTTTTGCCAAGGTAGTAAAAGAAGTGAATATCCCCATATAAGTTATCTATAGTAAAACAAATCCTCCACCCCAAAGAAGCATCTTTCTCAAATTTTAACCTAATCAGACCAGGAAGATATAAACAGATACAGAGAAAGTTAAACCAAGAAGAGACAAAATAACTCAGGAGGGTGAAGTAAGCATTTCACCTTCAAGTCACTGACTGAGACAAACCAGGCCCAGGATGTTAATAAGAACTTTCAGATCTCTTGGGGGTTTATGAAAATCCATTTAAGAAATTAAGGTTATTTTTATCTAAGAACCAGCTGGGTTTCAGGCAGCCCTGAAACATAAGCTCCTCCCCATTTCCTTCAAACCTTTACCAACAAACCTGAAAATGGAACATGCACAGAACTCAATGTCTTACCTTCCTGCCAACATAAACAGGAATGCCGATGACCATGGCAGGAATGGCAATGCCAGCAATGAGGGAAATCCCCACTGGAGCACCAATCAATGTGCCCAGTTGCCAAAGAATTTTCTTCTTACGGCTCCATGGCTTCTTGCCCCAGAATGTGCAGCCAGAGGGGCTGCAGAGGAAACATGCTGAAGTTAATGTCAATATTACAAATAAATGCAGCTGTTATCACCAGAGAGCTTAATAAAAGCAAGAACCTTCTTTTCAATAGGAGTAGTTAAAAGTTACAAGAAATGCCCAGCCGGGCGTGGCTCAGTAGTGGAGCATCAATCTAGGATCCAGGAGATCACGGTTCAATTCCCGGTCAGGGCACATGATGAGTTTCGGGCTCGATCCCCAGGTGGGGGCATGCAGGAGGCAGCTGATCAATGATGACTCTCTCATCATTGATGTTTCTATCTCTCTCTCTCTCTCTCCCTTCCTCTCTCTGAAATCAATAAAGATACATTAAAAAAAAAAAAAGTTACAAGAAGTGACAGGAAATGAATATATTACATGAGGGAGCAAAGGACAAGACCAGACTATTGGAGCTCTGGGCTCTTTACTTTTTTTTGTAAAGGCAAACCTCCAGATTTGAAACCTCTTTTCTATTTTTTTCTGCTGAACTTTGTCCTCCCTAACCTACCAATCTGATTCAGCTTCCTTGACTGACACTACTTGGGATCCTGCATAGCCTCCACACTTGACACCTTATCCAAACTGCACTGTGCCTTGCAGCTATTGAACACTCTGATTTGCCAAGTTTTCTTGGCATATGTCCTACCACATCTGATAAGTACTGAGAACCATGTTCCTGGGAAAGAACATAGAAAGACTTCGTCACAGCCTTTATGTCACTTTCATACTCTGAGTTTGGCTATGTTTACACTCAGCCCTTTTCAGTCCATCCATTTTTGCTTACTCCCTTTGTCCTGTCTTCTCTACCAGATGGGATAAGCAATTTTGAAAGTAGGAATCATATCTTATACACTCCTGTGTCCCCATTAATTGGTAGACTAGAAGTACTCAAATGTTTGCTAAACTGGAAATCAAAGTGTTTCATCCACACAAGAATTAAATTTGTAAATATTAACTCCTCCATGACAATATTTTAATATTCACTCAATGAATTCTTTGGAAACTCTCTACATGCAAGGAACTGGAAAAAGGTAATTCTAGCTTTAAGAAACTTAAATAGTTTAGCAAAATTAGACATGTACATGAAGTAAAAGTAATGATGACATTCATAAAGAAACATTTAAGGCCGGGCCAGGCGTGGCTCAGCGGTTGAGTGTCGGCCTAGGATCCCTGAGATTGTGGTTCGATTCCTGGTTAGGGCACATGCCCGGGCTGTAGGCTCGATCGATCCCCAGTAGGGGGGGTGCAGGAGGCAGCCGATCAATGACCTCTCTCATCACTGATGTTTCTATCTCTCTCTCCCTCTCCCTTCCTCTCTCTGAAATCAATAAAGATATATTAAAAAAAATAAAAAGTAAAAAAATAAAGATATATTTTTTAAAAAAAAGAAAGAAACATTTAAGGACTGTCAATTAAGAAGAGTGAGGCAGAAAAGGCTGGGGAAGGCATCACAGATGAAACAGCATTTAAGTGGCCCTTGAAGGGTAGATAAGAACTGAACAGGTTGAGATAAAATAGGGTTGCTAGTGCCCTAGGCAGTGTGGCTCAGTTGGCTGAGTGTCATCCTGTGTACCGAAGGGTCACCGGCTCGATTCCCGATCAGGGCACACGCCCAGGTTGTGGGTTCGATCCCTGATAGTGGTGTGTGCAGGAGGCAACTGATCGATGTCTCTTTCCCTCTCTCTCTCTAAAAATAAAATGAAATAAAATAAAAACATATTTTTAAAAAATAGGGTTGCTGGGAGAGGCGATTAGAAATCAATCCAGGCAAAGTAAAGAACTTGTGAACAAGTATGGAGGGGTAAGATAGCACAGGAGACACACAGGGAACAGCAAGCCTAGATTATGTATCTGGAATATAGCATGTATGAAAGCAAAATGGAAAAAGCTAGAAAAGTAGACTAGGGCCAGACTGGAAAACCTTAAAAACCAAGCTAGGAAAATTGAACTCTATCTGGAAGGTAATGGAAACAGTTCCTGGAAGTTTGCTGAGCTGGAAAAAACACTTTCAGAGGATACTTTGGAGGAACTTTTTTACAGTTTCCTTATGCTGTAATGACAGGACAGACAACAATGTCTCTTTGACAGCATTTTCTCTCAATCAATATGAGAACAAGACTATAAAGGCAACAGACACATTTTCCAACTCACCTGAGGTAATGCAAGTCTGAGATCTCTTTCATACAAAGCCAACAGAATTCACAGCCACATACTGCACAGGTCATATGATTACAGCTTCCATCATTCATCTTAATAATGTAAGCACTACATCGTGGGCATGGCTTGATGTCATCTGCTAAGGGGGGAAGGAAGAATAGGCAGAAAAGTAACTCCAGTTAAACCTTGTTAGACTTTATTAATCCTATGAGTATATATAAAAAATGGGGAGGCAATAAAGAACTCTTGACTAAGAATTCCAAATTATGCAACCCACTTCACTGGAAGGCTGGCTATGTCTAGACCTCAGGAAATTTCATAAAATGGATCCTGTCTTATAGCAAGCTGCCTATCCCAAAAACTGGCATCTTACATACCACGTGAGCCACACTCTGAGCAAGGAGACTTCCCAAGAGAAAGATGGTTTCAAGAAAAATGGAATTTCACCAGCCAAAAGGCTGGCAATATTAAAAGCACAGTCCAGCAGGAAAAATAGTCTGCAGACTGTAATTGGCTTTAAGTTTCGAAAAACTTTAGTTCAGGAAATTAATTTCTCAGACTCAGCAAGTATCATTGTAATTTGCTCTTACTGTAACCCACAATTCCTTCCCAATATTCTTTCAAATTAAAAACCTAAAAACAGTTGGGTATGCTGCGTAGCATACACCTGGTAATCTTCACAGCAAGCCAGAAGCTATCCTATTAAAATGACAATTTGAGATTATGCTGTTCCAGGAAAAAGTGAATGATAAAATCTTTCCTACTGGCCTCTCCCGAATGACGTCAGTGAAATAAGGGCATTTATAAAAGGCAATAAACTCACTGACATTTTAAAATGTTTTCTATGACTTGTAAAAGGTGGAACTGAATGTGTGATATTCCTACGTTTAAGGTTAATCATTAATCCATACTAATACTTCCTGTCCTTCCATATGTACCCTATTTCCAAAAGTGTAATGCACTTAAAGCTAGTACGAAAGCAGTACACCTTGTAACACTAATTAAATGTTTTTCTGCTCACAATTACAGTTTTGAAAAAGCCCCTAGCAAAAGGACCTAATTGCTCTCCAACCGGATACCTATTACTAAGAAGGCAGAAACTAGGGAATTCAATTTTATTGTATTCCGATTTTACCCGAGTTGGATAACCTACTATGGTAGAGAGGGAAGCTACACATCAATTATAATACTGAAAGTAAAGTACTGCCAAATATCTTCTGATCTCTGATCCCAGGAAATACTTCGTTATATAGTTTAAGGTAATCTCTCCCAGCTTTGGGCTCACATTATGAAGTATAAAATAAAGAGACAAATGAGACAAGGCCAATTTATACCTGGTCCCGATTCTTGCCCATAACTGAGACCTGAAGTGTGCTTTGTCCGTACTCGCAAAGTCTGCGCCCTCTGCTGACGGGCCATATCGCATGTCTGATTTGGGTGCCATATTTGTTTGCAGTGGTAGCAGAACTCAGTCTGGCAGCCTTCCCTCTCACAGGTCAGCTTTGGGCAGCTGGCACAGCCATAGGCAATAACAGCATAGCTGGGTAAGGAAATAGGAAGAGATATCAGTAAGGTAAGAATGATCTAACGAAGACAGACAGACATTCATCAGTTCAGTGGGGTAACACTGTTTGGCACTCCCCACCACCACATATGATTTAAGAACACACATAACACACATGCACAAATGTGTTTAACAAACTGTAAAACATTTTCTGTGTGAGAAAGTAAATTTCTTGAGATTCTAAAAACACAAGTCATTTATTTCCTGAAAAAAATAAGGAGAAATATCATATTTAGCCTGAATTTCTAGCATGTATTCAGTCATAGTTTAAGCTGTTTTAGGAGCAGTTTGCCACAGTAAGTTTCATAAATAACAAGGTACAAAACAATTTCCTTCCGATGGTTTGCTGTATTTAGAGAGATTAGAATTTGTTTACATAAGGGACAGGACACTTGTAAAATGAAGAGCTATACCACAAACTATAGCAAGTATACTTTTTCATTTTTACATTCCACAGTGAAGCTGGTCTGACCACAGCCTCGGAGACAATAGTCATAGATGGATTCATGATCAACTTCTCCTACTGAAAGCTCATAATTATCTTTCTATACCTTTTTTTCTCCTTCTTTCCTCCCTCTCCTTTTCTCTCTTTCTCTCACCTTTCTCCCTCTCTCTTAAGCGGGAAAGGTACTGGATGATCTCAGAAAAATATTAAGTCAACTTCTGGTGATACAATTTAGACAGACTGCCAGTCAGGAAGCCTTGAATATTTCATGATCCATTCTTACCTTACATGGCGGGAATAAATATTTATTAACAGGTTCCCCCAACCCCTCTTCTTGAAAAATAAGAACATTTGGTAGGACTGACAATGTCAATTTTGGGCGTGGAATTTGGTTCCAAGGAAGTAAAATAAACCCAAATACTCATGAGCTCAAAGCAATCTATTACCATGACACAGAATTACTCAGGGCACGAGATTTGGCATTCCTGTTTTTGGGTGCCTGGTCTGAGCTCCTTGCTCCTGACTCATGCTGTGCCAATTAAAATCTCCAAATGGTAGCTTCTATCCCCAAAATAGAGGTGTAGGTGCTTGCCACCTTCAAGTGTTACTAAACATGTTCTGAAACTACATTTGAGATCTTGCCATGACAGGAACGGCATAAAATCACAGCACTTTTTTTTTTTTGGTCTTACTTCCTGGCCTTTATATACACTACTCCGTCTGCCTAGAAATGACCTTACCTTACTTCTTATCCATGTAAGAGCCAGCTCAAATGTCATCATCTCTGTAAAATCTACTTAACCTCTCCAGGCAGCTGATTGTTTACTTCATGCCTATGCACAATTACTCCCCTTCCCGCCCCCCGCCCCCCCCACTGTGCAACTCCCTTCAGTGCTCACAGCCCACAGGTAAGGAGGCTGGGCAATAGTTTAAGGCTGCAATTTACTCTGGCATGGGTACACTATAAGAAGCCCACAGAGAAACACAATTACTTTATAATACTTATCACATTATATTGTAATCATCTGTTTATATGCATACTTCCCCGACAAGACTGCACTCAAGGAAAAGTATCATCCATTTTTTAAAATATGTTTTTATTGATTTTTTAGACAGGAAGGGAGTAGGATAGAGATAGGAACACTGATGACAGAGAAACATCAATGGGCGTCCTCCTGCACGCCCCCGACTGAGGATCAAGCCTGCAACCAGGTTATGTGCCCTGATCACGAACTGAACCACTGACCTCTCGGTTCATGGATCGATGCTCAACCACTGAGCCACACCAGCCAGGTTCATCCATTTTTTTAAATCTCTAGGATCTAGCACACTAATTTAGGTTTAAAATACCTATGTTGAATGAATGATAGAAACCTTCTCCTGCTTAGGTTTTTTCCTTTTCCCCACGGCATTTTAGCTCTTCTCCTAGACTATTACTTTGCCCTAAAGCAATCTTTTAAACTTATCCATGTATGTATTGGCTTACAATACATGTCAGGTACTATAACTTAATCCTAAAATTTTGTATAAAACCACTTTAGGGGTAAAGTTCTAAGTTCTAACTAGGGCAATCTTCTTCCCCAGGTAGTTGGAAAAAGTCTTCATCTTTGAGAGACCAAATCTGCCTTGATCATCTTGTTTCTTTTCTTCCATGTCTCACACTAGACCCTCTCCCCTACCCTGCTCTCTTAGCTTAGCCAAGCATTCAAGTTTGCTTAATTAGAAGCTAAATAGAAGATACAGGAAATTACATGTTGCTAAGAATACAGATGCATACTTTTTCCCCTTAAGTGCATACACCTTTTACTAATTTTGTTCATTTCCTAAGTCTTCAGAAACATCATAATGTGTGACAGGCTAGACACAGTACTGCCTAACCTCAGCCTGGGAGGTGGGGGTAGAATCCCATTAGTATGAATTTGATTATGTTCAAAGAGACTCTGGTAGTTAAAGAAATGTTTTCTTATATTATGTCTATACTTCCAAGCTCCAGGCCAGGTAACTTCATTTACAAATCAACCCTGAGCACATGTTAAGGGAGGGAGACATGGGCCAAGTTGTCACAATGAACTGTACTCTTACTATCTTTCTTTTTCCTGCCCTAGTTCAAACTCATGTTACGTCTTCGTCAGACAACTGCAAGAGACTACTATCTGGTCTCTTTATTCCCCACTCCAATACAAATTCCAATTCTAAAAGGTTATCAATCATGTTACTCTTTTGCTTAAAATCCTTCAACAAAAAAGAAGAAAGTCCTTCAGGCCTAAAAAATCTTTGCATGGCATAAGATTGGCCCAGTCAATCTTGAACCCAGTCAACCTTTTCAGATTGATCTCTAGTCACTTTCCAGATCATGCTCCCCATATTGTGCATTCAGAAGCTAACCAAACTAGACTGAAGACTTAGTCTTGTATTTTTATACCTCCATACCGTTGCTCATAACATTCTATTTAAGATGCTTTTTTTCTCTACCCATTTCTTTGTCTGATATGAATTCCTACTCGTATTTTTCAAGGCCCAGATCAAATATTATCTCCTCTGTGAAGTCTTTCTTGACACCATCATGCAAAACCTTTCATCTATCCTGTAAGAGGATTTGTATTTTCCTTAGTATTTGTTACATTGCAGTTATAATTATCTATCTATCTATCTATCTATCTATCTATCTATCTATCTATCTATCTATCTATCTATCTATCATCTATCTATCATCTCCCTCCCTCCCTCTCTCTCTCTCTACCAAGTCAAACTCCCTGTCAAGAGGACCACATTTAAGTCCTTTTTGTAATATCCAGTACTCACCTAAGGTTCAAACACTACATAATTCTCCAAAGTGTCTGTTGAATGATCATCTGTCTTCTTCTCATCCACCCTCCTGTTATGTTTCTCCTCCAAAAACCGTGCTGTTTGTATTCTTTATCTTTCTTATCAAAATTCAACTACATCTATTCGTCTGGGAGCTGAGAGATTCTGTTCACAGGTTGGAATATAGATATCCTACTCTAGAGAAGCTCTTTATCTATTCAGAGATCAAGATTCATTGTTAAATAAGGACACTAACAGAAGGCAGGCCAAAATAACTGCTAAAGTTTACAAAACTTTAGTCAGGGAAAGTTTCACTTACACCTTAAAGACGCCATTGAAAAAACAAAAACATGTTTTCTGGTAATCTAAATTTGGAAAAATTATACCAGATTGAAGATTTACACTGCATTATTAGTATTAACAAGATTTACAGTGTATATTAGCATGTTTAAAGGGTCTAAGAAGCTCAGAACGTTCAGAAATAAATTTGCTTTATTTTGTTCAAACCAGTATTTCCCAGGCTTATCTGGTCACAAAACATTTCTTTTTCCAGTAATGCCTATAATATACCTTGGGAAATATTTATATACGTGAAAAATAGAAAATAAGATCAAAAGATGGTTGGATACTATAAAGGTGCTTAAATTATAAGGGTAGATAATATAAATAAGTTATTAAAGATATAAGGAGTCATCTTATAGGTCAGATATGAACAATTTTAGGCAGGGGAGCAATATAAACTGTTCCACTACAGAACGAGTACTTCGGCAAATATGAGAGAGCTGTATCGGACTGGGGGAGGATGCAGATGATGGGGAGAGAGGGAGGTAGAGAGAAGGGATGTGAGATAGACGGTACGGAGTGAATTAAGAAAAGAGGTCCAGGAAGTCTTCAGGGAGGAAAACTCCTTCACTGGCTGAGAAATCTGTCTTGCTCAGGGAGCTTGCTCTTCCCTCATAAATATGCTAGAGACAAATAGAAGCTTCCTGTTCATGGGATGGTCCAGTCCAGTTATCTAGGAATGCCAATAGCTGATACTACCTGCTGTGGTCAGGTGGGGGGGGGGCACGCGGACAGGACTACTCTGCAGGGGAACTCTGCAATGAGAGGCTGGAGTGGTGGACCTGCACAAAGAATTTAGGTCAAGACAGCCTTATCTCCTACTCAGTTGGAGGGAGGATCTGCCCTGTTGCCGCCCTTGCTCACCCCTTAGTCTTCTAGAGATTCTGCAAGGGTTTAAAGGATGACAACAGGGCACTTGAGAGGAAATCATTAAAAATTTACAGAATTTGTGGGTTTCTGAAAACACCTCATATTTAGGCAGAGACTCTAAGGGGTAACAGATCAACTGTACCATTTATTAGCTATGAGACACTGGGTTCCATACAAACTTCTCTACACTGGTTTCTCCCTTATAAAATGAATTTACCACCATCTACCTGTATGAAACTAAAATGAAATTATTTCTGAATAATTAGAAAGAACTAGAGTCTAAAGATTAGAAATAACTATAAAAATGTCAGTGATTTGTATTTTGAATTAATTTTATCTCATTTAAAAGTATGTTTTAAAGATAATAATTGGTGGTATTGTACTTAATAATATTAAATAACGATGTGAATGTTTTCCCACTAAAATTGGTTCCCTTATTTACAACTAAAATAAAATTGTTTCAAGTATGGGAAAAGAAAAACTCGAAACTCTTTGCCCTGTTCTACAAATATTTTGTAAACAAATAATGAATCTTTTAATGTATAGTGTTCTCATTATCATGAGTAATCACAGTGAAACTAGTGATCAGAACTCTGTAGGATCACTTATATGCTCCCCTCACCCTGCCAAACACATACACACTGACACACAGAGAGCAAAGGGAGGACTTGATAAATTTGGCTAGTAAGAAATTGATCTGTGGACAGTAAAGATGGTCAGGTATGAAAAGAAGAGATAACTGGGGCTTAGGCTTCTGTTGTAGTGCTCATCCATGATTTTTACCAGACCCAGAAGAGTAGACTAGTTTGATTAAAACAAAACAAAACAAAAACAAGCTATTTTTCTCCTGGCATAAAAAAGAGGCAAAACCACTGGCCACATCCCCAGGGAACCCAAACACCTGTTTGGGGAGTAACAGAATTTTAAAGTTACTCCGTGTTTAATCTAACACCTTCTACTGAAAACATTGTGCAAACAATAATTAAGCCTCTCAAGTCAGGAAAGGATTAGGCTTATTTCAGATAAGAAAAATAAAGCTGGTAAGAGAGACTGTTGACAATAAGAATCAGTAAAGAAAATCGATTCTAGTA